GTGAGATGGGAAATTCAGAAGCTGAACCTGAAGAAATCTAGACTTGCTTCATTTAGGGTTTCAGCATTGCAGGAGGACTAGGCAGTAGGATAAAATAATGTGGTTCAGGGACTGTGAGACTGTCACAATATTCCACAAGCTGTTTAGTAGAGGTGTGAAGCTACTGCCATGATGACAATGTCAGCCAGGCTATAGAAGAAAACAACCTGTGATTGCACAAACAAATGATGATGGGTCATTAAGCCAAGCGTTGTTACTTGTTAAAGAATACAGATATATAATTGGCAGGTTTCCTTCTTGTACAAAGCCATGCAAGTTTCCTGCCGCCCTCCACAGGTAACATGATGTCATTTGCTTGTGATGTCACAGAACCTGGGGCTAAGGGGTAGCCTAGTGGTCAAAGCATTCGCTTGTCACATTGAAAGACCTGGGTTCGATTCCCCACATGGAAGACCTGGGTTCGATTCCCCACATGGGTTAAATGTGTGAAGCCCATTTCTGGTGTTCCCGGCCATGATATTGCTGGAATATTGTTAAAAGCGGCGACTAAACTCACTGACTCACTCACTGACTCACAATAGAACCTGAGAGTCATTTTAAAAATATATTGTCTGGCACAAATATTTCACCAAATTATATTTTTAGAATTTGAGACCCTTGTTACAAGTGATGTATTAGTGGGGTGAACAGTATCTTGTGAATACAAGCTGAATGTTTGCATACACAGGACACATACACAATGAGACTGAAGCTAAATGAGCTCATAAAATCACATATAACTATCTAGTCTGCCTCACAGTCCCTGAACCATATTATTTTCCTTTCCACCCATGCCTTTCTGTAATGCAAAATCCCTATATGAAGCAACAATGAAGCATGTAACTTTATAGAAAACAACTTCAACTAGAGTGATGTTTCAGTGAAGATTCTTATACTGTTATCCAGCTAAAAGCCTTTTTTCCCTTAATAAACTCTCAATAAAAACACAAAGAAATGTTGGCCTACCTAAGCTTTTTCAGCGGTAAACAGGTATGCTTTTTTGTTTGTTTCACAAGTTCGTCCCTCCTTGGGAAAACCAAGCACACAAACTCTCTCTCCATCTACATCTTCAGTGAAAAACATTTCTACCAGGATCAGGGATGACAAGTTTTCTCTAACAATTCTTTTGAACAATCCCACATAGATTTTCTTACCCAGAAACATGTCCGATTGCCGCCCTCTTCACACTTCTAAACATTCCCATGGCTCACTAATACTCTCACTGTCAACAAGGTTACCGTCTTATTGAAAATTTCTTCTTTTGAACATTTTTTTTCGTTGACAGTGTTTTCAAGTCATCCCTCAATTAGCAGGCATATGTTTTACAGGGCAAACAAGATCTGTAGTTCTCCCTGCCTAACAAACTCTGTTCCACTAAGTCCCCGGAATGTAACAGTCTAATATCTGTGTGAAGTAACAAAGTGTCCGGTAAACATGTTAACTTGGACATAGGTCCTAAGAACAAGTGTTTTCACAGTCTTCAGTGTGAAAATTAATTTATTAACCTAGACTTCTTTCTTTGAAGGCAGTAAATAAAATTATATGTAGTTAACTACAATTTAGGACAAACTGAGAGTTACAAAGAGGTCACATTGATAATAATCATTCGGACAATAACATGGAAACAGTGTTTGGCAGATTGTCCACAGTGTTAATGAGGTGTCACACTACTGTGCTTGCAACACGGTATATATGATATGAAACTGATGGGCTGGATTCGATCCCAGGTGGAGGCACCTAGGTTCAGGTCACCAAGGTTGATCAATAGGTACACAACAACACAATACATCTCCCACACTTTTTCTCCACACAATACATCCCCCAGACTTTCTGCACTAGTAGAACCGAGATGAAGTATTGTACCCTGATGCTGACACACGACCTGTCACAGTGACATAAATAAGCAATGACAAAGCTCAGGAGATGTCTACACTCCTGTTACAACCAGCCAGGGCTGACACCATCCACCTCATCACCATACATAACTCCAAGTGATTACTGATACCTAACACATTCCATTATCATGGTGAGTGACTGAGGATGGTTTTACGTGCTTTTTGCAATATTCCAGCAATATCACAGCAGGGACACCAGAAAATGGGCTTCCCACATTGTATCCATGTGGGGAATCGAACCCGGGTCTTCAGCGTGACGAGCAAACACTTTAACCACTAGGCTACCCCACCGCCCCTACATTATCATGGTGTACCACCGAGCACACTGTCTTAACATTACAAACAGTACACTGGTGCACGTTAATACCATGAAAATCTTGTTCTAGAGAGACATAGTAATTCATTGTAAAGTACAAAATCTAATCGCAAAAGTTGCAATCACTTATTGATACCTTACACACCTAAAGTCACGTGACTCACCATACTGCACTGGCTCTACTAAAACATCATTGGTGCACATCTAGTGCTATGAAATCAAGCTCTGGAAAGAGACACAGTGATTGATCGTAATGTACCCAGTACATCGCAATAACACCTGAGTTATTGATACTGTAACGCACCTGTTGTCATGTCGAACATTCCAGTCTTGAACTTCCCCAGAACAGTTCCATTAAATACCAGGACAATGCTGGTGTACAGAGTAGGCTGCTGGTACAGTGATAGACTAACGCTTGGTCTCCGAATACATACAATTTTGATAGAAACAAACAATTCCTTTTAAATTGAAAAGGAGTCCCTGTGAGATGGGAGATTCGAACTTGAAGAAATCTAGACTTGCTTCATTTAGGGCATTACAGAAAGGGGTTGGCAGAAGGGAAAATATAGCGGTTCAGTGACTGTGAGACTGTGCATACAGTGAGTGCAGGTGCACCTGATGAACGTCCTTCATGACAGCTTGTTTCCAGCCAGTCGAACTTGACACGTAGCAGTCACATGCCACCATGATCTTGTTACAACTGGTAGATCTTGTGATCTACTACAGCTCAGTACCTGTACCTGTACGCCAACATATGGGCAGGGAGCTAGCAGGGAGTGACACAGTTAAGGCTCATGACAGGAAACATGATCTACAACTGTGTATGGTACAAACAGACTATTGTAAGTGTGGGACTGTAATCAGTGTTAGAAATGACAAGATTGGAAACAGTCTATCCATTCCTTGTTTGTAATTAGTAAAAGGTTAAACTCTTTTTCCAGGTATTATCATACACAGAAGCCTGCAGTCTGCTGTTACCTGACAGTGAGTGAGTGAGTGAGTTTAGTTTTAAGCTGCTTTTAGCAATATTGCAGCAATATCACAGCGGGGGACACCAGAAATGGGCTTCACACATTGTATCCATGTGGGGAATCGAACCCAGGTCATTCGCGTGACAAGCGAACACTTCAACCACTAGGCTACCCCACCGCCCCTATGTTAACTGTGAACCAGTATCATGGCACCTGATGGACCCACAGATGCCAATTTCCACAAACCTTCTTTGAAATAAGCTGTCTTTTCTTTTACCACAATAACTTGATGATGTAGCAGCCAATGGTTTTGACAAGTCCAGATAATGCATGCACAAAATCATAAAGGTAACATATTGTTCATACACATGATTGTCCGTTTGTCTCAAACCTACTTAACATAAAATGGCCAATATACTACAGGCTGTAGGCTAGGTGATTCACACATATTAATGCCACATTCATATGATACATTGTATCACTGTTCAGTTCACTTCAAGCACTAATTGTGGCACTGGAAACTGATCATACTGTTTTATAAAAATGAACACTTAGGCAACGTTACCAACATATTCACCAGCATGTGGATTACTCAATAAATATCCACAAATTTGAAAATGTTTATCAACACAATAAAACACAAGAATCATCATTCATTTTCGAAACTTGAAATATCACAGAGGACAACATCACAGGCCTTTGTTATTCCTGAATCTGCCTGAAGGATGTGGAAAATACAACTACACCAAATTCAGACATATATTGCACAAACTTAATATTCAAGTCATGTGGTATCAATTTTACGAAACCAAAAGGCATTTCTTGTAAAATTGGGATTCAGAAAAGGGGTTTTAATCACATTGAAAATCCATTCATTACATATGGAAACAATCCACGGTGATCATTCTGACACATCACCTACCTGGAGTGAGGGCTGTCTTTAGTATGCATATTCACGGTGATTACTTCATTACTTTAATACTAGGGATGATGCCATTCAAGCACATCCACTAGTGTAGAATATCAGTAACAGGCCTGCGAATGCCTATTGGCTGACCAACTTTCATTACAGATACTACCACCCTGCCATCTTTTATACTGTAGCTACAAATACTATTCTTCTAAAGACATTGAGAGTAATACATATCTTTGTTTGAACACATATATAGGTGGGAATTCTTCAGCAATTACACTTTCATCTTTCTTGTTTTGTTAAAATTTGAGTTTTGTTGAGAAATGAATCTCTTATTGGTGCCCGGATAGGATGGTCATGTATTTGAATCTCAAATTCCCAGATAGCATTCAGACGTTGGACCAACATTGGCAATGGTTTTGCCAACATTGCCAACGTTGGGACAACGTCCGAATGCTATCTGGGTTCTTCCCTATTATGATGGTGATTTAGCAACAATACACCATTTTGAACTTTCCTTTAACATTAAATTGCCCAATATGACATAACTGGAAATCAACTTTTCAACAGATGCTAGAAACTTGGATGTGAAGCTAGACTCATCACTCAACATGACAAGCACATCTATAACCTCGTCAAAAAATGTGATTTTCACCTCCAAAACATAGGTAGCATATGCCACCTTCTCACAGAACAAACAGCTGCAGCATTGCATGTTGAGTCATTCTTGCCAGGATTGACTATTGTAATAGTCTGCTTGTAGGGGATCCAGTGTAACACAGTAAAAATATTACCAAGGTTATGCTAAAGTTTACCTCATTTTACCTACTACAAACCTGTGGTCTGTGTACTGTTGGGTGCCTCAGTATTACAGTAGTCCCCCAGAGGGCTGAAGACAAAGGTTTGATTCTCAGGTACAATACAACCTGTCTGCCCCATTCTATGTGCTCATTGCCAAAGTCAATACGACAGTCCCTGCGTTTCAGGCAGGAACGAGTCTATCTTTAACTCGTCTCTAACTACAAATCGCTGACACCACTACTAATTGGTGAGATCATCTACAGGACATGTCCATGTCAATGGCTGTAAAAAGTACTTGCACTTTCTCAACCTGCTCTGAAAACATCCCCTTCCTGGAGTCGTAAACCAGACGTGGTCATCCTTCTACCTTGGCATGTTCCTCCGTGGTCAGTGATGGTCACTTCGAGGCAATCATCCAGCAGGGAGAGGACAGAGCAAAGAGGACAAGCTCCGGGGATGTGCAGTATCCTAGCAACCACACATACCTGCCACCTCCATTGTACCCTGACACCAACCTGTGGGGACAGCAAGGTGCTTGGACAAGCACTGATTGGTGTCTCTTGCACTCCTAGGGGTGATAGGGCCATGTCTTTCATTTCAACCTTCAACCCTTAACTTAAGTCAGTTAAAACAGAATTATTATTCCATAGTTCAATGTCTGTTTATTACAGAACACAAAGTTTAAATTAGTGCACAAAATAAATACAAAACAATTTAAAGTTGTTTATTACCCTCACAGTAAAGTGTATTTGTGCTTGCCTTTAGGAAGGCTTTATTCCCTTTGTTAGAGGTTTTCCATATCCACAGAGGACAAACTACATAAAATGCCTCGGATCAATTAGCACTTGAAAAGTTAAAAGTTACTCTTACCTATAAGATTTTATAGCGGCATTTTTCACTTTTCTAATCTGTTATGGTTGAAGCAATTGTGGAAATTAGGGACACCTCATTCATTATAGAGGAAGTGGGTCATGTGGGGGCGGGAACATTGAACAATGGCACAGTAGTACTTGAAAAGGTTATCAATGCGAACATTACTTACAGACTGGTCATGTATTATAGGGAGGTGGGACATGGTCTTGCAAAAATGTGAAACTTATTGGAGGGCAGAAGACATGAAAAACAGAGTATGGTGGGGGAACAGCAAAATATGACTGCTTCAAATCTGAGGTAAAAAAACGACCCCCATCTGTTTTACAACTCCAGGAAGGGGATGTTAAGGGGGTTCAATCCCATTATGACTACACCCCAGTATGCACACATGTCCAGTAGACAGCAGCATTACCAGTCCGGCTCAGCTTGTATGGTAACCCTGTCATGAGGGGACGATTTCGTTAAGAGAGCAGGTTGAGGGAGTGCAAGTACTTTTAACAGTCATTGACACAATCTAAAGATAGATTTTGACCCAAACCAAACACACTATCCCCTATCCTAACTGACCAGGGTGTCATTGTCCAAAACAACCTTAGTGTTAAGTGTCTATGTTAAGTCAATGTTAAGGTATGGGAATTATGGTCACCTTAGCTCTAAGATCATTTTGTACAACGGCATCTGGTCCCTAACTGTTCAAACTAATATTTTTCATAGCGTGGCATTGGCCTCAGTTGAATCTGTATACGAAAGGCTTGAAATATTGTCACGTATTGACAAAGCAGGATTTTCTCTGGCATACATTCGGGAGATTGTCCTGTATTTCTGTCACTAGGTTCAGCCAGTTTGGGATAGTGTTGTATCTTTCTTCTCACATTAGACAAGAGAACATCTTAACATAGAGCTTAACTGCTACAACTCCAGGATCAAATGGTGACAGTAATTTGACATGCATGTACATGTTCATGATCCCTGCCCATCGTGTGGCTATAGACACAGATGTCTGACAGTGTGTATATTGTAGTATCAAGTTTTAATGCACACTTGGAGAGAATAAGGAACTGTCCACAAGTTGAGGCTTAGATTGCAATGTTGCCCAATATCTTCAGTAAGAAAACTGAGCAGGAAGTGGTGTGTTTACACTCCACTACAGACTGTGATGGCTTGTTAACATATTGTGTACAGGACAGTATGTCTGTTTAAAGATTACCATAGCAATGTACCACCAAAGGATTAACAAATTTCACCATACAATGTGAGCAACTACAGTTAAGAGTAGTGAAATAATTGAAGATTGGTCGCAATCGATCATATTTTCTCATAATCGAACATAATTTTGGAACACTTGTTTGCATTAACAATATTCTATGACAAGGTTGGTTTTGTCTGTTACATTTCATAAGCACTACAAGCTCGTTCCAAGTCATGATTGAATCTTAAAAACTCCAGGAAATTTATGTTCTTAACATATTTATCATTCTTTAAATATGTGAAATTTGCAAATGCATTTTGTGCAATGTGCAAAAAAAGAAAGAAGAGCACCATGTTTTTTCCCTATTTTTTGTGCATTAACAAACATAACAGGAAAATTTGATAAATGACACTAACAAATTATTTTTGATGATTGATCGGTTGTAATGAACCAACATCAATTATGAGATTTTAACCCATTCATAACACTAGTTAAGAGTCAAAACGTAGTTTTATTTTGAAATTTTTCAATCTTTGTTTACAAAGACATAATCTGAGCATCACAACATAGGACAAACATGTATCTTATAGTAACACAGACATTACTGATACAAAAATATAAATATATGATTACAAATTTACGTTGTATCACATGGACGATCCATATTTATAACAACAGTGTCATAATAACCACCTAGAGGTGAGATCAAGTGGTTGATGATGGCCATCTGTTGCACCACGGAACAACTCTGTACTTGCTATACTCCCTTAATCTAGGTTAAGTAGGTTTCAACAGGCTTATTCCGTAACTCCTATACAATCATTATGTAACATGTTTGACCACTTCCGAACAACTACATCTGACCTACTTTCACAAATCAATTATGACCTTGCTTGAATATCGCCACTGAATCAATTAGTCCGGTCATCAGGTGCAGTGAACCTGTCCAATTCACCAAGCTGTGCACTGAACCAAACAGTTTCTCGTCCTACAGCCTTGCTCTATTTCCTATCTTTCCTTTACAGATAGACTAACATCTAGTCTCTAAAATGAACATAATTTATAGAAAAAACAGTTCCTAAATTATAATTATAAAATATAATGAAAAGGAGCCCAGAGATTTTCTTCATTTCCAAAAACTGGGGCTATCTAGACTTGACACATATTCTAGACTTGCATGGGCTTTCTTGAATATATTTGTTTCAGGGTCTGTATGACAAACTACTTTACTGCCTGTCGTGTTTTCGTATTCGTTTAAGTATAGTTATCGATTGGTGACATGTGCGTGGGGTCGAACACCACATGTTTTATTTAAGTGCTGGTACAAGGAGGACCATGATGCATTTTGTCAAATAATTACGTAATGTCACAATATACTATTTGTAAACAACTAATTATAGATAAATAACACTGCCACCTGAAGCCCCTATGACCAATGTTTGAAATGTATGAGTTATCTGGGTGCCAAGTTTGTATTTGTTTTGCTTAAATAAACGAGCATTTAGGTAACTGCCCGTTGAAAGAAGTACCTTGACTGTCACTGCTTTCAATTTGTATTTAGTCACAGTTTATTCATCTCAATATTATTATCATTATTATATGGGTATTTATATAGCGCTATAGTCCATCCCACATGCATGCTCAAAGCGCATCTTATCTTAAGCAAAGGTTATCATGGTTAAGCCTCTAACCAAACTTGATATCTTACTGAAAATGTACACGTCTGAGTAAGTGAGTGAGTTGGGTTTTATGCAGCTTTTAGGAATATTCCAGAATATCATGGTGGGAGGACACCAGAAATGGGCTTCACACATTGTACCCATGTGGGGAATCAAACACAGGTCTTTGGCATGATGAGCAAACGCTTTAACCACTCGGCTACCCCACACTATGTCTGAACCAAGAGAAAAAGTAATACTTATACAACAGATATGTCAGAACATTTTATTGGTTGCAATGATGCACCACCCCATGTACAAAATCTTGTGCATAGTAAGACCATATTGAGCAATGCACCATAGTAAGACCATATTTAGCAATGCACCATAGTAAGACCACATTTAGCAATGCACCATAGTAAGACCACATTTAGCAATGCACCATAGCAATGCACCATAGTAAGACCACATTTAGCAATGCACCATAGTAAGACCACATTTAGCAATGCACCATAGTAAGACCACATTTAGCAATGCACCATAGTAAGACCACATTTAGCAATGCACCATAGTAAGACCACATTTAGCAATGCACCATAGTAAGACCACATTTAGCAATGCACCATAGTAAGACCACATTTAGCAATGCACCATAGTAAGACCACATTTAGCAATGCACCATAGTAAGACCACATTTAGCAATGCACCATAGTAAGACCACATTTAGCAATGCACCATAGTAAGATTGAGCATGCACCATTTAGACAATGCAATGCACCATAGTAAGACCACATTTAGCAATGCACCATAGTAAGACCACATTTAGCAATGCACCATAGCACCAAGAGACCACATTTAGCAATGCACCATAGTAAGACCACATTTAGCAATGCACCATAGTAAAGACAATGCACCATAGTAAGACCACATTTAGCAATGCACCATAGTAAGACCACATTTAGCAATGCACCATAGTGCAAGAGACCACATTTAGCAATGCACCATAGTAGTAAGACCACATTTAGCAATGCAATGCACCACATTTAGTAAGACCACATTTAGCAATGCACCATAGTAAGACCACATTTAGCAATGCACCATAGTAAGACCACATTTAGCAATGCACCATAGTAAGACCACATTTAGCAATGCACCATAGTAAGACCACATTTAGCAATGCACCATAGTAAGACCACATTTAGCAATGCACCATAGTAAGACCACATTTAGCAATGCACCATAGTAAGACCACATTTAGCAATGCACCATAGTAAGACCACATTTAGCAATGCACCATAGTAAGACCATATTGAGCAATGCACCATCAGTATGTCAACTGTCAGTGACCGTATGAATGCAATGAATGTTTCCATTGTTGTTTGAGAGCGTGTTCTACAGCACAGTAGTAATACAACTCTCACTAACCTGAACTGAGGTTACCAAAGGTCTGGTCTTCTTAGACTGACGTGCTACTTACAATTGTACAGAGACATGACCTTGTATACCTGAATGGAAAACTCTGTCAAACCCGTTGTAGCCATGCTGTTGAATATGTACCACAGTCAGATTCACATTTCTTCTGTGTCCTTCATTTCAGTTGTAAATCATATTCCTTCAGCAGAGATTCACCTTGTATACATTCAAGTTATCAGTCAACAATAACTATTATTCTTACCAAGAATCTTAACAAATATAAGTATGGAATGACACTTTCAAAATGTGTCTATAGATCTGTAAAACTACTCAAGTGAATGCCGCATCAGCTATTTGTGGCGATAAAACCATTTAAGAGGTGAAGCAAAATTCTCAAGCACGACGTTAAACCCAATTTCACCTCACCTCTATATGTGGAATATGGATTAAATTCACATGTAACCTGGTTTTACAAGCATGGCACACTTGTCGGACACTCGTTGCTAAACTCAATAGCAAGATGTGCCACATGTGTAAGTTTTATACAATCACAAAACATGTTAGGAGGATGACTTTCTGGGCACTGGTGTATACAAAGACCACAGAATGGTTTTTACATTGTCATCACATCCATGTTTAGGATATCTAGTGCTCAAACATTTGATAAATATAATTCAAACTGGCACAAGTTCAGACTTGTCTAAGCATCCCCCATGCCGAAGACCCGATCCCACATGGGTACAATGTGTGAAGCCCATTTCTGGTGTCCACCGCTGATATTGCTGGAATATTGCTAAAAGTGGCATAAACTAAACTCACTCACTCTAAGCATCCCCACCCCCAACTAATACACGGACTCAACACATACAAACACACTAACACTGACACACTCAGACGCTAAAACACTCTACCCAGGTCAAACAGAAATACGAGGATCTTTGTAAAGTATCACAAGAGTAGTCAAATTTCAACATGTGATACAGGACATGTCATAAAATGTCTCCCCCTAATCTTAGGGTTTCTTCAGAGTAATGCAACAGTGCATGTGTGAAGCAAGTCAGCTGGTTCAAGTAGTTTCATCAATATTGATCCTAATGCAATAAGCTGATCACATAATGTGTTACACACCTGGGCAATAAAACACTCTTCTCCTACACCTGGATACATGTGCTCATTTACATGTTCATCCCCAATAGCAAACACACTGGACCTCAATGTACATACAACCTGCTGCGAATTTCTATATCATTATAAAATGAGAGACATGCAAATTTGTACAGTGACTCTATGACTTATCAAATTTTGGTAGTAATAAACTTTGTAATTGGTCCCTTTGTCCAACTGAGACATGAATATATATTATGTGTGTGTGTGTTATTATATACTATACATGTAATACATTCAGCAATATCATAGACAATAAGCAAGTAGTAAACATATTTTTGAGGGATGGAATTATACCTTCTAGAACAGCCAGTTAGTTGCCCCTTTACGTAGCAGTTTATCTGTGAAATGCTGACAAATATGTCATGAAAAAACACCTTATTCTTTGGCAAGAGATGCATCACGTACATGGAGTAAAACCTAAATTTAGGATAAAAGTGGAACCAAAATTCTTTCAAAAATTCAAGGCATTAGTTATTGTAGCTTATATTATTTCAAGAACAGACCCGTGAAGATCCGGGTTAGAATGGATCTTCAGTAACCCATGCTTGTCGTAAGAGGCGACTACAGGATCAGGTGGTCAGACTCGCTGACTTAGTTGACACATGTCATCGTATCCCAATTGCTTAGATCGATGCTCATGCTGTTGATCACTGGACTGTCTGGTCCAGACTCGATTATTTACAGACCGCCGCCATGTAGCTGGAATGTTGCTGAGTGCGGCGTAAAACTAAACTCACTCACACTCACTATTTCAAGAACATTTAATGTGATCAAAAACAGAAGGAAATGTCATCTATTTTCTGCTGCACACCTTCCCTAAAGCCGCCACTCACTGGAGATGAGTAAGCTGCAAATGTCAGCGCAAGTTGTGGCCAACCAGTCGCTGACATGCACCAGCTCTCACCTTAAACTTTAAAGGGGAACAACGTAACAACAAAAAAAACAGCCTCTGCCATTTTTATACAAGTTGAAAACCTATCTATAAATCTGTCAGATCAAAGTTGTACAGAATTTAAAGATTGTCTTAGTCATGCAGAGAGAATATCTCAATTTGAAACATTGCATTAATTACAAAATCTAATCCCAGACTGGCAATTTGAACCAAGCTTTGGAGCACTTGCTAAATCTTGTTTCTGAAATTAACATATTTTACAGGAAAAATTACCTTAATAAAATGTATCAAAAATGAGATTTTCTTCCTTTTCAAAAACAGCAGTTATCTATACCTGCGTCCTACTAAAGACTCTTAAGGTATTGTATTAGATATACATGTAATTGTTTCCGGGTCTGAATGATGGGTTGCATTTAGCATTGCTTCCTATTACAGCTGACTTGTCACATCTCTTGTCTGACCATATTTCATCTATTCCTATTATTCAATAATGGTCTGTCTAAGACCTGATCAAGTCTACATCAGATTATCCTGTGTGATGTATGTCCAGGAAATGGGGGGATGATAACATTATATAACAGCCAACATTAGCCCCTGTCTATACAACACTGTCACGTCTTACTGTATACCAGTCTCCATGTAACACTGGTCACTCTCCATGTCACACTCTCCTATGCCGCCTACTGTATGTCAGATCAATTGGGCCATTTCTGTACATAGCCTTGACCACTCCATGTAACACTAGCATTTGTACCCGTGAAGATCTGGGCTAGAATTGGTCTTCAGTAACCCATGCTTGTTGTAATGGCATTGGCTGGTCAGGCCCGCTGACTTGGTTGACACATGGCATTGCATCTCAACTGCATAGATCAATGCTCATGCTGATGGTCACTGGAGTGTCTGGTCCAGACATGGTTACTTACAGATCACTGTGATATAGCTGGAATATTGCTGAGTGAGGTGTTAAACAACAAACTATCATATGTCTCCTGCTGTATGTCAGGTCATATTGACGATGTCTGTATGTTACATTGACCAGCATCTGTGTATCACTGACACACTCAAGAAAATTAGTGATTAACAAAGGTGCTCAAAAGTGCATTGCAATTTCTAAAAATACTTTCCCGTACTTTCAGTTAATAGGCCAATCCAATTTCCTATGTGCTATGTACCATAAAACTTTCAATGTAGATGTATTCATACCTGAATGGATGCTTGTTATTACAGCCCTGATGGAAACATTCTAATGATGTAACGTAACAATGTCACACAAACCCAATGGCGCACCCTGGCCCTACCCCAAGTGTGGGTTTATAATCCTCTACCTCATTACCTGCATGAATAATCACCCACAATTGGTAGCATTAATTAACATGTTTTAGGGATTAGAACTTGACCTGACAAACCCTTTATCTGCAGTAGCTGATGACAGGCAGTGTTAATCAACTAAGTTCACACCGAAAACAGGTCGGGTTTGTACACCTGAAGAGCCGTTGAATGGCGAAAGATCTTGTCAAAATTACTTTATCAGCACAAGAGGAAATTTTTCAGGGAGAAATAAGCCAAGTATTTAACAGATACAAAACAACAGATAATTTTCAAAACTGCATCCTGATTTCTTACATTGTAAATTTTACTTTGGCCAAGGCTAAAATGTGAAATTCAAATCTTTACATAATCTGCTGAAAGCATGCACTCTTGTGAGAAATGTAAATATCAGTTGAGACAAGTTCAGCATTTCAGTATTTAAAAAGTAAGTTCTCACAGTGACAAACCTCATCTTCTCTCCCAAAAAAGAAATACAATGATGTAATGGATTATGTAATATTATAAATATGCAAATCATCATCATCATCATCATCATCATCATCATCATCATAAGCAGGCACACAGTGAAATAATGACATACATGGCCATGTCACATTAGCCTTCACTCAGCCGAAGTGAAATTGTTTAATCTCCGACTGCAGAGACAGCTCTACACATTATTCCTGTCAAAATATGTACTTAAGCTCCTACAAACATCATTTTTAATCTGCATGTGTTTGCGTACTGCTTTAAGTAAGGTTAGGGACTTACCTCCTGGCTGGCTGAATATAAGTCTGTGGTAATCAGGACAACTGCTCACCTACGACCATGTCCTCCAGTAACCTATCAACTAAATATAACCACCCTGTCTTCCTGACACCACATATAGAATACAAGTCTATTTTACGTCAACTGTTTTGTCACTGCTACTTCTTTTCTAAATCTAACCATCTGTTTATAACACAAACTAAAGGAGAATTGGAGACTTCACGTCACAGTCTGCCTAAAACCACTTAGTTAAAATTCATCATCTTAAATTTCCACATTCAGTTATCTCCCCTGAAACTCTAAATTTTATCTATGAGCATGACCAGTGACGAAATAAAAACACATTATCCATCATGAGTGAAGTACTGACTATCTTTTTTACCTGAATCAGCAGTTTCTGCAGTCAGTTAAAGGTGCATGTCTCAAATGTCAAAAGGTGTCCCTGGTATTTTAGATTTTGATGATATACTCACAAACTATGATAACATATCTTCAACATAGGAGTCAAATGTCCCAAGTGGCTGAATAATCTTGTTATCCCTGTCATTTTCAGTGTCATAGTTGTAACACTGTACAATAATGTGAATCCTAAATCATCATGCTACAATAACATTTCATCAAAACATTTGCATAATAGCATTCTGGAAATTTGGGGCATACAGTACTTTTCACTACTTGCACAAACTAAGACATGGGGTACTTTTCACTACTTGCACAAACTAAGACATGGGGAAAGTCTTTCCAAATCATTAAAAAAGTTAATTTGAGATGTGGTCATATGAATGAAAATTAGACTTTTTTTAATTCACCAATTAAATGTTTGTGTCTTCTAAAAATACTGATGCATATATTAAGCCAAAATTGTGCAAAGATATTTTAAAGGTGTTCAGAAATCATATTTCTAATAGGTAAACAGGAATAAATCTTTGACCCAACTTCGCTATTATTTTTGCTGCTATGGTTAATCTTCCGTTCTGACTCATATACTATTTATGTATTTAATCAAATCAGAAGAAAATAGGCAAGTTGTCAGCCATTTAAACATGTCTCATAATTTTCTCATTATTACTTCTGCATCTTTAAAGTTGATATTGCCAGCAGGCCAGAGAGTTTTCTCAATCTCCATCTTCCTTTAACATTAACGTTTGTTTAAAGATTCATCAACACAATTTTTGGGCATTCTGGACAAATATATCAGCCATAATGTGTCCCTGTCCTGAATACAAATCTGAGTAACAATCTGGATAAACATGTGTTGATGGATAAGACAGGAACCTCATGAATAACAATTCCCACAACGCATGTATGTTACACGGAGATGGATACCATCATTATCCTGATGAGATTTATGTCAAACCTAACTTTCAGCGACATTGTCTTCCTCTGTAAACACAGTGACATGTCAAAGGTCTGTGTGTTTCCGTCATTTACTGCAAGACACGACATCTGAATATATTACCAGACCATGTTGGTTGGACTATTTTAAGGCTCGATCTGTCATTGTGAAAGAGTCACATGTCCATGAAACCACCCACAATTTTTTAGTGGTTTCGCTTATTGCTGAATAGTGGTAATCTTGAAAGAAACTTTTTCTGATTTACGTGCATAATTTAGGGGTTTTTTTTAAATGATGTTACAGATTTCTTTAAGCATAAGCATAAATGTTTCATTGAGTGAGTGAGTTTACTTTTATGCCACTCTCAGCAATATTCCAGCTATATGGCAGCAGTCTGTAAATAGACAAGTCTGGACCAGACAATCCAGTGATCAACATCATGAGCATCAATCTATGCAATTGGGATATGATGACATGTGTCAACCCGATCCTGTTAGTCGCTTCTTACGACAAGCATGGGTTACTGAAGATCAATTCTAACCCGGATCATCACAGGTCATAACTGTTTTAACTACAACAGTTCTAACTTCTATTGTAGGACTGGCTAAAAACATTGATAGCAGAATATGTTCATGGAAAGAATTTTTAACAATTATTAAAATTGTGCAATCGAAGATATTTCTTACCAACTATTGATAAAATAACATTTCAATTTACACCCACTATATACAAAGTCTTGTCTTCATATGTTGGCATCTTCTAAATCATGTTTAGAACATCATTTTTGTCAGTAATCCATGCATAAATGTGTCAATGCTCACGTGTGACCTGAAACATTGATTTCTTTGGGACTTTCTTTGTTTTTTAAAAGACTTGTGCCCATTCACAGTCTATGTCAGACATCTAACACTTCAAAATAAATTTTCATTTTTGGCAAGTCTAGATTTCTGACTCCAATAGATAACTATCAGTATTAGCACAACAGAAGAACTATAGCAATTTCGAAGAATCAGGTTTTCTTAAATTTCTTTTCAGTATCTTTTGCATGATATAAGTACTCAACAATAACCCAAATATCTTTTCATTTCAGAAAACAAGTTGAGATAATGTTAGTGGTGGATGATATTGATCATAATTATAACTAACACACTAACAGTATACGTTTTGAATGATTGGAATAAAAAAAGCTGGGCTGCCTGCTGTTTCAAGCAGAGACCCCCTTTAATTACAAATAACATCGCCACATGCGTGCAACATAAGGAGACATAAGCTCTACTAAACCAGGTCTATGAGTTAACAGTCAAAATTATATAATTTTAATACTTACTGGTTTATAAGCTTAACTTAATACCTAATTGACCAAGAGATCAACCAATTCTCTGTTTCTAATAATTTGCCCTGAGGTAATGACTTTGAGGGCCGTTACACCACTTTCGCGGAGACA